GTGCCTCTAACTAGTACTCAACTCACTACAATATTGCTAGTACCATTCGCCAATATGGACCAGATACATATGCTGACATGGAAAAAGTGTTAGTCTTAACGCCTACTGAGTTCAAAAAGTTTTTATCATTAATATATAACAGTAAAACTGAAAGAATTCTATTTAAATAACCATTTCAAAAATTAAATGTATTTAGTATAAAAGCAACATCTTTTCCAAAACCCACCATTTTTGTTATGAAAACTCATTTATCAAAACCCCATTCTCATACAAAATGTGAATAAAGTTTAATTATCAAATATTAAAAACATGGATAAAACTCTATTGTCCAAAACATTAAAACATGGATAAGTGCCAATATACGGAAACCATAAATTATGGATAGTCTCTAAACCCAAAGTAACACCGAAAACATGGATAATACCCTATCAAAAAATAACACATTTTGATGACAGGGGAGACTCATATCCATCAAATATGGAAAACACAAAGTAAGCCATACATCAATGTTGTCAAGTAGCACCTCAAGATTCAATTTACCTTAGGGCCTACTCATTCGAGTTTCACCTTAAGGCTCATATCCTTAGTGCCTACCCTTATTGGGTAGCACCTCAAGGCTCATGATTCTTAGTGCCTACCACTCCAGATAGAACCTCGAGGCTCAATAATCTTAGTACCTACTCTTTGGAGTTTTACTTCAAGAGTCATGACCTTTAGTGCCTACCTCGTGAGCTAGCACCTTAAGGATCAAGTTCTTAGTGCCTACTCAACTAGGACAAAAGCCTCAAAACAAGGCTTCTAGAGTCTAACTCATTTAAGTTCACCTTCAATACCTGAGGTCCAGAGTCCAACCCCACACAGGTCCCTCTCCGCAATACAGACACGACCACCATACTTACTCGAGCATTAGTCTTAGAGTGAGAACATCAAAACTCCTTACTTATCACATGACTGACTCACATGCCTATGGATTTAAATGCATTACAGTCTAATTACATAACTCCAAATGAATGATTAACACACTCAAAACTTGTAATTCCCAAATAAATATGCAATACAAATAACGCCTAAAACTCAACTTTGAACAATCTAAAACCGGACAATTGTCCCCAAAACTCATATGAGTAAAATCAACCCAATAAACCCCCAAAACTTATTTTACTATACAATGTCAATATAAGTCAAAATATGTAGTTATCCAATGTTTATGCAAACTTATGCTCCAAAATATGATTTGGTCAAAAACTCACTATTGAAGGGATAAATCAATTCCAAATGAAAATTGTACAATTTATACTTCCAAAATGTCTTATGACTCAGTAATATGTAAATACAGAATGGTTTATAAAACCAAATACACTAAAAATACATTTTCATCAAATAATCTTCGTTATATATATAACAAATTATTAAAATACCACATTTTATGATTTATTTATCAGTTGCCAAAAATCACCAAATATAACCATTTTTCAATGTATAAAATATATTGATAAATAACAAATATCTATACTACCTTATAAACTAAATTTCATAAAAGTCTTAAAGACAACATTTTAAACATAAAGTACAATCTGTTAAAGCTAAAAGTCTTAAAGACAAATTTTAAAACATAATCAACTGCTGATTAAAGCATCAAATTTGAAAATCTCTTAATAACAAATCAAGAAGCTATATGTACAAGTTCACTCCCCTCAATGCACCTGGTCGGTTATATTTCACACTTTTAGACTAATGAAATTAGGCCACAAAGCAAATATACAATACGGCCTAACGTCGTATTTCCAAGTAATAAAGTGGTACAAGTACCGGATTATCGTCCACAGGGATTGTAGCCAAAGTTAGATTAGAGTCCAATGAAAGAGATGATTTCAGANTTTCCAAGTAATAAAGTGGTACAAGTACCGGATTATCGTCCACAGGGATTGTAGCCAAAGTTAGATTAGAGTCCAATGAAAGAGATGATTTCAGATGRCGATTTTGAAGACTTTTGTTTGATTTTAAGGTGATCCAAAACAAAATATAGAATATATAAAAGAAGCAAGGGTGTAAGACTTAAGGTGAGACCCAAACACAAATTCCAGCAGCCAATGCTGTAGCAATGCTACAGCAAGCAGTTTTTCGAAACTAAGTTCCACCATCTATTTTGAAGGCATTCCTCTTGGACTTCACCATTTCACCATCTTATAGTTTTCCACCCATATCTCTATGTGGTGTCCGGACCGGGGATAGTGACACAATGGTGTTTTCAAAATATATGGATAAACAAATCTCTTTGTTAAAAAATCACTCTCTCGAGTCGATTCCCATATCATTCGAGTTGGCGTGTTCTTGATAGTTCATCTCTGAATCTATCACACTTTGACACTTTTGACAAGTGACCAACCCGTCTGGAGTTACGTTTCGAAAAACATAAATGACAAGTCTCCTCGTCGGCAACTTTCTCAAGTCTACCTCTTATGTCATCCAAGTTGACGTGCTTAATGACGGCTTATCTCTAAGTCCATCGCACTTTAACACTTTCAAGTGATTAACCCGTCAAGAAGTGTGCTTGGTTTTATAAAAACTCGAATGAAACAATGGAATGTCGTTTTCGAAAACACTTAGCTACTTTCGTTCGGTTTGAAAATATCACCTTTCCGTCTCACACCTAAGCTATAAAAGCTTAGCTACTCATAATGGAAAGTTATAAATAAATGACGGAAAATAAAGACATAAACATAAATTGCGTAAAGTAAGTAACGAGAAAATAAATGACGGAAATGTAAATGACGATAAAATAAATGACGGGAATGTAAATGGCGATAAAATAAATGACAGAAATGTAAATGACGAGAATGTAAATAGTGGAAAAATAAAATACGAGAAAATAAATGACGGAAAATAAAAGACAAGAATGTAAATAAAGAAAAAGATGACGAACTTGAAGCACTTAATTAAGAACACCCTTGGAGAGGGTTTACAAAAGCTAGTAAATGAAAGAAAAAGATGGAATTAAGGATTAATGGGATGGAGGAATGGAGGGATGGTTTAGAAGGCACCCCAAGCCCTCTATTTATACTCAAAATGGGGCACTAGAAGACAAAATAAATAAACTTGTAGGCTAAGGTTTCTAAAAGTAAGTTACAAACCAACAAAAGTGTAACTAAAAAGTACATAGTCTTAACCAAAGTCTAACAACAGATTTTTCTACTAAAAATCCAACTTTTACAGCTGTCATCCACCTTCAAAAAGTCAGCGTCTTATCCATTAAGCCCTCCAAAAAACTGCTCATGAATCAGGTCGACGCTGCACCAATGCTGTAGCATTTGCTGTTTTCACAAAAACTCTCAATTAGCTTCATTCACACATACCAACAAGTCAACCAYAATATTTAGCTTCATAATAACAAAAGTGTAAAGAAATAAATAAAAAGGACTCAAAGTGGGAATGAAAAGAAATTATTATAACTAAAAAGACGTAAAAAGAGCGCTTTATGTGTTCAATTCTCAACACATATCATACCCCCAAACTTAAACCGTTGCTTGTCCCCAAGCAACCAAAAGACAAATATAAAGACTCAATATAAACAAAAATACATGATCAAAGCATTAAGTGCCTTCCCAAAGAGAGTTATAGCATCATGATGTTCATAGCCTTTCATAAATCTAAGATGTGTCACTCAAAACCAAGTTCTTTGTGTGAACCATAGGCTAGCATTCCCTTTTCTTCGTTAAGTACAAACACAATCACCATTTAGGATCAATAGGGCTTATAGGGTTTTCTCTCATTGGCATATCTTTTATCTCATCGCCTTTTTCACTTATATACTCCATATATAAATTTTTTAAATTTTCGGGCCTTTTCGCCTTTTTTGTTTGGAGTTTGCACATAATCCCTATGTGACTTTTATTGTGCTATTTCATAACATTTTCTAGAACACATATCCCCTATGGGACTTTCATTGTGTTTTCAACACCCTTTGTGCGATAAGGAGTCAATTTAGAGCTTTGCTATTTTGTATTGACTTTGTGTCCTTATGTGAACTCCTCCCCCAAACTTGAATATGACAATGTCCTCATTGGCGTTTTGTGGGGTATAATTGTGTATAAAGGGTGCAAGTGGCTAATATGAGCATAGAAAAGATGGCCTATCTCATTTCCTAATGGTGATTGTGTGATCAAAGTATTTCCCCAAAAAGAGTTTTGCTAGTTCTAGCCAAAAGCAAAGTACCATGATCAAATGACAAACAATCACTAAATTTATTCGGGCTATGATCTCATGTGTTAACCGCCCTCAATTTAAATGATCATGCGTAAAAATAAGACTATAAATTATAAAAAACTATTCCCGACTAAAAAAAATTAAAATATGAAGCTAAAGTAAGGTGGTAGAACCTGTCCTATTCCAAAGGAGTAGGCTGTGTACTCCAGGTAGCCACATATGCAATCTCTGTCCTCAGTCTCTGGGTCTCCGTCGTATACTGATTCAGCTTTTTCTGCATTCTCTTGATTTTTTCAGCTACCCCATTCTCCAAGTCTTCTTTCAGCTTCTCAAACCGCTTCTTCATCTTCCTTTCACTTGCCTTCAACCTGTTCGTTAAATCAGCCTGCATGGTCTCTAACCTTTCTACCATCTCGGCCCGTTGTTCTATCAGGAAGTCCATCATACTACCACTTTGCTCTAAAAGCTCCTCCATAGCCCTAGTCACACCGGGTAATTCCCTTCCTCTCTCACTCCTCTCTCTAAGCCTCGAAACAGCCTTCATATCAATTATCCACTTCTCCTCGCACTCTTTAATAACTAAGTCATCAGTGTACTTGGGGACACCAGCTTGCATAAACAATTTATGAATCAGGCCTGGGAAAAACAACTTCCCTTGTCTCTTTTTGTAACAATAAAGAATGGCCTTTTCAATAACTTCCCCCCACATTGATTGTCTTACCCGTAACCACACAGTATAATAAAATGATTCTCTCAACCGAAATAGAACTGTCATGAGTAGTCGGGTTGAGAGAATATCAAATGAAGTTCATCCATACATTAGCATCGGGATTTAAGTTCGAAGCCCTATAAGTCCGTAACATGTAGTTACTATGGACATCCCACCCGGTTCCGGCCTTCCCAAGCTCCCTACCAATTTCCTCCAGTTTAGCAAATGAAGCCGATTGGGAAAGTGTCTCAAAATCAGTCTCGGCCGGGGGTGAAAGGCCTAAAAGCTTATTAATAGCCTTGGCCGAGATACTCACCCGAACACCCCAGACCTTAATCTTTGTAGTGCTCAATACACAAGCTTCGGCGTAAAACTCCCTAATTAAAGACAAATTAAAAGAGCTTTTTACCTCGCAAAGCACTTGCCATCCTTGCTTGGTGATCACGTCCCAGATGAAACTGAATTCTTCGATACTTCTCCTATCGAACCCCTTATCTGGCAACACCTTCTTGTTTTTTATCTTTGTTTCAACTGTGCGACTTCAATGCTAAACCCATTAAACTGTCGTTATGGCCTAAGAATGGGTTTAGTGTTTGACATGCTGCGTGTGGCTCGCACCCGAGAAGGGCAGGCTGTATCATCATGCCTAACCGTGGCCATTCGAGGTGATTTTCTAGGCACAAAGGTTGTATGCCTCAACTAAATAGAAAGTGGAGTGTGCCTTGGTCGTTTTCTAAGAGGCTGACTTGCCACAGATTTTGACCTGGCAGCAAAAATCCTTCCCAATCCCTTTATCTTTTTAGTAGGAATTGGGGTCAAATTCCTTATGTTGGCTTCTGAATCAGCCTCACTATGTGGGGTGTCATAAACCTCTTCCCTATCATGCATTTCAATGTGATCAAGCCCAACAATTTCATCCTCAACAATGTGAGGTGTAGAGTCAGTCAAAACAGTGGCTTCGGGCATGTGTGCACAAGGTTGATCATACCAAGTCAAGAAATATAACTTTGAAGGACTCAATACAGTGGAGGGAGATTTAGGTGGAACAAAGTTTTCATCCTCAGATGAATCAGATGTTGTTAAACCCTCCACAGGCAGATTATGGCTTGAAATAGGACTAACCTCACCACCCAAATTAGGGCTCGTATCTACCGGCGGCGATGATGGTGGCGGAGCGATGGTGGCGACTGCCGCAGGTGGTGAAGATGGTGGCGTGATATTGGAAGTTGGTGGAGGCGAAGGAGGGCAGTCGGTTGAAGGCGGAGGAGGCGAGGGAGGCCGGTGCGGCATTCGTCTAGCGCGCAGAGGAGAAGAGTCGGCGAGCAATGGCGTGACAATCGGTGGTCTAGGCAGCAACGGTGATGAGGGAGGAGACGTCGAGGGAGAGCTATTGGCTGCAAGGTCTATCATTTCGGGCTCCCCTGTCCGTCGCGAGGCGGAGGCGCATGCTTGTCGGCGGTTACTTCGTCGGACCGATTGTGGTGGGTCGCGAACTGCCGTCCTTTTCATGCGAGCCACGGTTTTCGAATAGAGAGGAGAGGCGAGTGGAGTGGTGTCAGTGAGTGTAATGAGAGTGGTTTAAGCAATGGTGTTTTTAGTGAAAGAGGGATTTGATGGTAGGTTTTAGTAATGGAGATGGTGATTTGAAGTGAGAAACCGACAGGTAATGGGTGGAAGAAACAGCCGGCTATTTTGATTGACAAAGGTGGTTACGGGGAAGATGAAAGGTCATCTCTCTATTAAGTCTTTCTAATCACAAGCACTTGACGGTTAAGGAAGTGTCAAAAGTAGTTATCCAATGGGTAAACATTGATTATGATGGAGTGGGTATTGGTGTATGGGGGACAAAATCTGAGAAATTTGGCTGACAAAAACTGTTGTGATGTAGTGATGAGGTCACCTGTACTTTTCTGACTTCCTTACAAAGATGCTGAAATACCTCGCATGTGAACCTATGAATGTTGTAGCATTGGCAGAACATCAACTTCCTATGATAATCTCTTTGAAAACAACCTACACAAGAACAAACTAATAAAACATAAAAGCTCTAAAACAGAAATATAAAGAGGGAAAATGTTTACAAACAAACTTTGGACTTGAAAAAGTCCAAAAACACCTTCATTCCTAAGGTATAGCCCAATTCTCAGAGCAATGCTCTGGGAATGCTACTGTATCATGAAATACCTTAACTCGCTGTCCGTTTACTTTAAACACCGTGTTGTCCTCCGGGTTAATGAGGTCAACCGCTCCATAAGGGTAAACTTTATGAATGACAAAGGGTCCGGACAACCTAGACTTGAGCTTTCCCGGGAATAGTTTCAACCTAGAATTAAACAAGAGGACCTTTTGCCCTTCTTTCAACTCCCGGTGTTGGATCCTATTATCATGCCATTTCTTTGTCTTTTCTTTATAAAGTTTGGCATTTTCACAAGACATTTGTCTTTGTTCTTCCATTTCACAAAGTTGAAACTTTCTTTTCTTTCCGGCTTCATCCAAAGACATATTGAGCTCTTTGATAGCCCAATATGCTTTGTGCTCAAGTTCTAAAAGCAAATGGCAGGCTTTTCCATAGACTAGCTTATATGGAGACATACTGATTGGTGTTTTGAAAGCAGTTCGGTATGCCCATAAAGCATTGTCTAATTTGAATGCCCAGTCCTTCCTATTGGGTTTGACCACTTTTTCCAAAATGCTTTTAATTTCCCTATTAGAGAGCTCTGCCAAACCATTAGTTTGAGGGTGATAAGCCGTGGCAATTCTGTGGTTAACATTTTATTTTTCAAGGACTCCTTTTAACAAATTGTTCACAAAGTGGGTACCCTCGTCACTAATTAGTGCCCTTGGGGTACCGAACCGTGTGAAAATATGTTTTTGGAGGAACTTAACCACAGTTTTTGCATCATTTGACACACATGCCATAGCCTCCACCCATTTGGATACGTAGTCAACAGCCACAAGTATGTATTGGCAATTATTTGATGGAAGGAAAGGACCCGTGAAGTCTATTTCCCAAACATCAAATAATTCAACTTCGAGTATCCCATTTAATGGCWTTTCATTCCTTTTGGAAATGGAGCCACTTCTTTGACATTCGTTGCACATTTGTGCAAAATTGTGGGAATCTTTAAAAATGGTTGGCCAATAAAAACCGGACTGTAAAACTTTGGTTGCAGTTTTTTGGCCTCCAAAATGGCCTCCGTATGGTGCATGATGGCAATGCTGCAGGATTGTTGCCACTTCAATTTCGGGCATGCATCTTCTCAAAATCTAATCTGCACCAAGTCTAAACAAAAACGGGTCATCCCATAAGTAAGATTTAGCATCATGAAAGAATTTTTTCAACATGTGGCCTGTGTAATAAGAGGGTTTTATTCCACAGGCCAAGAAATTAGCTAAATCCGCAAACCATGGTGTTTTTGGTTAGTCAATCAAGAGGATTCTTTCATCCGAAAAAGTATCACTAATGTCCATTCCTCCTTTCTCGGGCTCTTCCAACCTAGACAAATGGTCCGCTACTTGATTCTCTAATGGTCCGCTACTTGATTCTCTACCCCCTTTCTATCAAGAATCTCTAAGTCAAATTCTTGCAATAAAAGCACCCATCTTATTAACCTTGGTTTTGCATCTTTCTTTGAGATTAGGTACTTGATGGCTGAGTGATCGGTATGCACAATTACCTTTGTTCCCATCAAGTAGGACCTAAATCTCTCAAAAGCAAAAACTATGGCCAATAATTCCTTCTCATTTGTGGTGTAATTAATTTGTGCTTCATTCAAAATCTTACTTGTGTAGTAAATTGAATGGAACACCTTGTCCTTCCTTTCTCCTAGCACAACACCTACCGCCCAATCACTAGCGTCACACATGATCTCAAAAGGTTTGTTCCAATCCGAGGCAACTACCACTGGTGCGGTAACCAAAGCTTTTTTCAAAGTTTTGAACGCATTTCTGCATTCAGCATTAAAATTGAATTTTTGATCATGTTGGAGAAGTAAACAAAGACGTTTTGAAATTTTTGAAAAATATTTGATAAACCTTCTATTAAATCCGGCATGACCCAAAAAGCTTCTGATTCCTTTAACCGTGGTAGGTTCAGGTAGTTTTTCAATTACCTCAAGCTTTGCCTTATCTACCTCAACCCCTCTTTTTGAAATCAAGTGACCAAGAACAATTCCTTCTTTGACCATGAAATGACATTTCTCCCAATTAAGGACCAAGTTTGTTTCCTCACACCTTTCCAAGCTTTTTTTCAAATTATTTAAACAATTGTCAAATGATGAACCATACACAGAAAAATCATCCATAAATATTTCAATGGATTTTTCAGCATATCAGAAAAGATGGACATCATACACCTTTGAAAGGTGGCTGGAGCATTACAAAGTCCAAATGGCATTCTTTTGAAAGCAAAGGTGCCATAGGGACAAGTAAAGGTGGTTTTCTCTTGGTCTTATAGAGAAATGGCTATTTGATTGTACCCTGAATAACCATCCAAAAAAACAATAGAACTCCTTTCCGGCTAGCCTATCCAACATTTGGTCAATGAAAGGTAGTGGAAAATGGTCTTTTTGGGTAGCCTTGTTTAGTCTACTATAGTCCATGCATATTCTCCAACCGGAGACAACTCTAGTAGGGATAAGTTCATTTTTGTCATTTGTGATGACTGTGAACCCTCCTTTTTTTGGAACACATTGGACCGGACTAACCCAAGAACTACTGGCAATCGGAAAAATAATTTCGGCATCTAACCATTTTAAAATCTCCTTTTTGACTACCTCTTTCATGACAGGGTTTAGCCTTCGTTGGGGTTCTATGGAAGTGAAAATTTTATCTTCTAGGATGATCTTGTGTTGACAAATAGAGGGACTAATCCCTTTAAGGTCAACAATGGTCCATCCTAAGGCTTTCTTATGCAATTTCAACATATCCACAAGTTTCTTCTCTTGATGCAATTCTAGGGTAGATGAGATAATGACAAGCAATTTGCCTTCTTCTCCTAGAAAAGCATATTTTAGATGGGATGGGAGTTTTTTCAACTCCAAATCAGGTGGTGATTCTATGGACGGGGTGAAGTCTTTTTGCTCATTATTTTCTAATAGCTCAAATGCTGTAGCATCCACTGGGACAACATCAGTTCCTAACTCCTCTATCTCCTCAACACTTTCCTCTTCTATTTCCTCATCATATTCTCCTTCCAACTTAAGGTTTTTTTGAATTCCCTCTTCCAAACACATCTCCTCTATCTCTGATATTCTTGAACACTCTTCCAAACACATCTCCTCTAATCAGTCAATTCTGGTCTTGGAGTCTCATAGTCAATTCTCCTTTTTGGACGTCTATCAAAGTTCTTCCGGTGGCTAGAAATGGTCTCCCTAAAATAATAGGAATATCCTTATCCACCTCAAAATCTAGAATGATAAAGTCCGTCGGAAATATGAACTTGTCAACTTGTACCAAAACATCTTCAATTTTCCCCTTAGGATATGTTATGGACTTGTTGGCCAATTGGAGTGTGACTGTGRTYRGTCTAGCTTCTCCTATGCCTAGGGTGTTGAAAACAGACAAGGGCATAAGGTTGATACTAGCTCCTAAGTCACATAGGGCTTTCCCTATCTCCTTCCCTCCTATTGAGCAAGGAATGGTAAAACTCCCTGGATCTTTTAGCTTAGGGGGATTCTATTGGTCAAAAGTGCACTACATCCTTCGGTTAGGGCTACAGTCTCATATTCAGTCAACTTCTTCTTCTTGCTTAGGATGTCCTTAAGAAACTTGGCATAACTAAGCATTTGCTCAATTGCCTCAACAAGCGGGATGTTGATGTGCAATTCTTTAAAAACATCCAAGAATTTCTTAAAGTGCAGTTCTTCCTTTTGATTGCTCAACCTTTGGGGGTAGGGAACATAAGGAGGGATTGGTTTTATCACATTCTTACTTGGATGAGTTGAGCAAGACGGGTCTTGAATGCCTTGGGTCCTTGTGGTGCCCTTTGGAGGTTCAGATGAAATGTTAGCATCAAGCTTAGGGGTCTCTAATACCTCAGTTTCTTTTGACTTCTTTAAGGTATCCTCAGGAAAGAGTAAGGGAAAGTCTGATCTAGGGGGGACAGAAGTGGTGGTCTCCAATGCCTGTTTCTCTAAGGGTAGGACCGGTCTTTCTTTGGCAGGAACCAATGTTGTAGCATCAGCTTCTGTCAAAATTGGTGCACTATCTTTGGGCACTTTTTCTTTCAACTCCTTCCCACTCCTAAGGGTCACTACTTTCACATGTTCCTTACCTAGGTCTCTAGGGACCTCTGTATTACTAGGTAAGGTACCAAGGGCTCGATTGTTCTGGTTAAGCGCAAGTTGACTGACTTTAGTCTCTAAATTCCTGATGGCTGCACTTTGTTGATTTATTAAAGCTTGATTTTGTGCTTGTGCATGTGCAAAGAGTCCTTTAATCATTGTTTCCAAAGAAGATGATTCTGACTGTGGAGGAGGTTTATTCTGAAAAGGTGGTTGTGAATTCTGAAAACTTTGTTGGTGAGTCTGAGAGTTAGAACTGTTTCCATGATGTTACGGTTGGAAATTAGAAGTTCCTTGTTGTTTATGGACTGGTGGGTTTAAAGTGGGACTGTTCCAAGAAAAGTTCGGATGCTGTTTTCAGCTGGCATTATAGGTATTGGAATAGGGATTAACTCGGTTATGAACATAGTTTACTGATTCAGTATTGTGAGGACAGTGTTCATACGAGTGTTCCCCGCCACAGCACACGCATTGCATAGATAGGACTGTTTGGACTGGTGTATTAGCAGCTTGCTGTCCTCCCTGGCCGGTAGTTAAATTTTTCAACATGTTGGTCATGGAGGTAAGCTGGGCTATTAATGCAGTATATGCATCTACATCATGTATCCCCGCAGTCTTTTTCTGTGACTGAGCACGTGGATCGGCCCAATGTCCATTGTTTGCTGAAATCTTTTCTAGGATTTCATATCCTTCATTATAGGTCATAGCTGTAAAGGCTCCGCCCGTAGTCGCATCGAACATTTGTTTTGCCATGGGATTTAATCCATTGTAAAACGTCTCAAGTTGAATACAGTACAGAATGCCATGGTGCGGGCATTTTCTTAACAACTCTTTGAACCTTTCCCACGCGTCATGAACAGCCTCATCGTCCATTTGTATGAAAAGACAGATCTCATTTCTGGACTTAGCGTTCCTTGTTGGTGGGAAATATTTTCGCAAAAAAATTTCCGCCATGTTACTCCATGACGGCACAGAACCCGGAGTTAATGAGTTAAACTATGCTTTTGCTCGATCCCTCATGGAAAATGGAAACAAAGTGAGCCTTAGAGAGTCATTTGACACTCCAGGGATCAAGAAAGCATCAGTGATTTCCATAAAAGATTTTAAATGCGAATGTGGGTCCTCCAAAGATAATCCGACAAATTGGCCATTTGTTTGCAACATGTGAAACATTATCGGTTTGAGTTCAAAATGGAGAGCGGTCATATGTGGCCTAACTATCCCGGAATTTAATTGCTCAAAATTCGGAATAGCATAATCCATGATCCTCTCATTTTTGGAATTTGCCAAATTAATTATGTTCGGAGTTTGTGCTCTTTGGTGCTCATTAGGTTCCGATTCTGTGTCCAAAATATTACCATTATGGGGATGTCCTTGTTGAAAGTTCGGAAATTGTGGGATTTGCTCAAAACCCGGCAGTTGATTTTCCAAATGTGGTATTTCTGGATTAATTGAGGGAGGTAACGCCATATTTGGAGGGAGTAGAGCAAAAAATGCTCTTTGAGCCCTCCTCCGATGGTGAAACGTTCTCTCAATATCGGGATCAAATTCGAAAAATTCCCCGCATTGTGACCGTGGCATACACCACTTTAAAAACGATTCCGATGGTACTAGAAAAAACAAATCTTTTAATTTACTCAAAATAAAACTTTTAGCGAATCAATCCCCGGCAGTGGCGCCAAAAACTTGGTCGGTTATATTTCACACCTTTAGACTAATGAAATTAGGCCACAAAGCAAGTATATAATACGGCCTAACGTCGTCTTTCCAAGTAATAAAGTGGTACAAGTACCGGATTATCGTCCACAGGGATTGTAGCCAAAGTTAGATTAGAGTCCAATGAAAGAGATGATTTCAGA